TCGAATGTCTGGCTCCTTTATCATGCAGACCTCCTATTCCACATTGCTGCCACAGAGAGGCCTTCCTGGACTCTGATTCAAAATAGCACCCCAGTTACTCTTCCATCACATCTCCCCCTGGTAGGTAGAGACACCGTCTGTCTTGTTCTCAGTTGGATGTTGAATGCCTGGGAAACCATGGGCGAATGCTGACTTCTGGGTTCTTGGTCTTATTTTTCTAGATCTAGGCTAGGGTCGGGTGATTTTAGGCCTTCCCCAGTGGAGCACGAAAAGACCACAGGAATCCAGTCCCTGTGAATTGGGACTTGTTCTCACCATTGTCACTTACCAACTGTTTAACCACATTGCACTGAGCTTTAGTTTTTCATCAATGAGATGGAGTTAACGAGCTTGCCTGACTCATAGAGTAAGGACTAAATTGGATTTAAATAGGATTGGAAGCGGAGTATTGAGCACATAATAGGCTCCCTCTTTCTCTATTAAAACTCTCCCATGTTGTCATTGTGTACATTTGCCTCTTCTCCTACTCAAGGCCAGGGGTGGGCACTTCTTTGCACTCCCAGCATCTAGCTCTGTGCTTGGCTTAAAGCACAATAGTAGGTAATCCACATATGTCTGGATTAATTTTGACTCTTCCCCCCCCCCCCCCCCCCCCCCCCAGAAAAGGTTGTGTTCTTTTGACCAAGTTAAGAGAACTGGGCACTCTTTGCCCAGAGAAAGAAAGACAAGAGGGCCAGGCAAAGTACAGGGAAAATGTGGAGGGATAGGCTGGTTGAGGACAAACTCTTGATTTATGTCTGTGCTATATAGTTCCTAGGTTTGTATACAATCAATATAAGTTGATCTCAGCATTCACTTTGTTTCTAATAAAGGGAATGTAGGAAAAAGATCACGTGATTCTTTTGTGGCTCCTAGTACTCATTAGGCTTTCATAAAAAATCCTTCCTTCCTTGATGTCCCCTCATGAAATAAAGTATGCATGAAAATATTCTGAAAACTGGAAGTGCTGTTACATATACATGTGTACGTAGAAACTAGTATGACTGATTTCTAGATAAACGATTGATTCAGAAAGATGAGCTGTTGAGTAAACATTCCTTCAAAAAGGTTTCTTAAATGCCTACCATGTGCCAAGGACTCTTTTGGGTGTGGGAAGTACAGCAGTGAATAAAGCAGATAAATCCCTGTAGATAGATCTTACATTCTAGTGGGAAAGACAGAAAATAAAGAGGATAAATAGTATATGAAGTTTTGCAAATGACGATTAAGAGCTACAGAGGAAAAAAAAAAAGGCAGGCAAGGGATAGGGAGGGTTGGGGGAACAGAAATTTTAGGCTGGTTAGTATCATGTCTCTTTTTTCTTTCCCACTCCCACCCATGATCCAGATTCCTAACCCTAGTTTGGCCTTCTGCTGTCACTTGTTTTCTTGTTCGGTTGTGTTTTTTTAAATTTTTTAAATGTTTATTTTTGAGAGTGAAAGAGACAGAGCGTGAGCCGGGGAAGGGGAGAGAGACAGGGAGACACAGAATCCAAAGCAGGCTCCAGGCTCTGAGCTCCAGGCAGAGCCCAGCGTGGGGCTCTAGCTCACGAACTGCTAGATTATGACCTGAGCTGAAGTCAGACACTTAACCAACTGAGTCACCCAGGTGCCTCTTGCTGTCACTTGTGAATGTTCGGTCAGTTAGGCAAACAAAAGAAATCTGATAGGTGGTTTGTCAAAATTCATAATTATTTATTTCATGTTTCTGTCAGCCATATTTACAAATATTACCTTATTAAAATACAAATAGACTTTTTACAGTCTCTCTTTAATAATAAGTATTAATAAATACATAAATATTTAAAAATCCAGAAGACTAAACAATTTGTACGATTACCAGTAGCAGCCAGCGAATATACTCTTATTTCTATATTGTCTAAAGATAACAATTGCTTTTGAAGCTGAAAGATTAAATCAAACCTGTGGTATTAAAATCGATTTAAAAATGACTGTTCCCTTTTAAAATATTAACGTGCACAATAAATTATTATTAAAAGGGTTGCGACTTTGAAGCATTAGGTCAGTTTGATCGTGATTTTCATGCACGAAAAAAGGAGGAATACAAGAATTCTATAGTTCTGACCCCTTTTCCAGAGCAGTTGGGAAGTTGTTTACTTTTTCAGGGCTCACTGCTGACGTCTGCTCACTGAGTAATGTCATCACATTTCCTGGTGGTGGTTATTTTGGGGGGGTGGGGGGCAGTGGTAAGTAGTTGTCCAGCTCTGCTGGGACACTGCTCAACAGAGGTCCTGAGAGCCGGATATATCCCGTAGACAGGATGTAAGGTTAAAATGCAATCTAGTTAAGTAAATAAAGTAAGTGTTCAGTGGTCAAATAGAGCTGCTGAAACATTAATGCTTTAAAATGATATCGCTAAAATCATGTTGAGGCAAAATTAATAGTCTTTTAAAAACCTATAACTTCTTTTATTTCTTAAAATTAATGCAGTGGTGTGTTATTTTTATAAGTTGAGATCATAAAGTTACACTGTCCTTTGTGAAAGTTATTTCATAACCCACTTTTGGTCTGGACCGTGTGCTCAGAGTTGTTTTCCTGGGAAGGACGAGGCTTTGTCCTGAGCCGTTCACACTTGTTATCCTGTCTCTCAGCTGGTCACCAACACTAGATGCACATATACGAGGATTTTTTAAAACTTGCGAGTCGCTAACGTTTTTAAATTTTTGTGAATTACTACCTTCAACTTAATTTTTCTCCTCCTGGTTTCCTTCAGTTCGTATGGTTGACTTTCTCAAACTTAGTGATTTGAAAGCTTGGTATATTTACTTCATTCTTGTTTCATGACAAAAGAATTTAAGGCTATGAGTCTTGCCTCTGAGTAAAACGTAGCAGTATCATGTAAGTTTTCATTACGTGATATTCTCATTTTTATTATTTTCCAGGTACTCAATATGTATAGTTTGCATTTCTCTCTCTGACCCAGCAATTACAAGTTAATGTGTAAAAAATTTTCAGGGTGGGGGTATTTGTCGATTTTGTTTAAACTTAATGTTTTTAATTTCTGGTTTGGTTGCATTATGGCTGAAGAATAAAAGCTGTACCATTTTTACTTTTAGGAATATGTTTCAAGGTTTTCTCTGTGACCTAGAATATCATATGTTTTTATGCTATTCATAAATGTTTTCCTTCTCCCCTTTCAGACTTTCTTTTTTATCTCCTGGATCCTTCATAGCCAGTTTCATAAGTGTCCTCTGTCAGAGGCTACAGGTCCCAATTCAGGTCAAGGACACAAGTGCTGCCTGCGATGGCAGCATCGTGCCTGCTGTTGTGAGGTGTCTGCTTTCTCCTCTGAAACTGCCCCCCATACTATAGAAAAGCAGCGAAAATGATTTCTCTTCTCTTTTTCCTGTCATTTTCTTCCTTCTTGTATTTTCCAAGCAGTAGGTCCGTATCATTCCTTTTTCTTTCATTCATTCATTCCTTTAAACTTTGTAAAAACCAGCAAGAAACTCATCAGATTGGTCTCTCTCGGTGCCTCTTGCTTTCCTTCTCGGTGCACCGAGGGAGTATGAGGATTTAGACCAAACCTCTCTTTTAAGACTCTCCTGGCCCTCTGGGATCACATCTCAAGACGTCTGGCTTCAGTACCCAGCTGTGCCCCTCACTGACAGGCTGGCCTGCAGGAGGATAGGCGGTGCCGTGGGAGGTCTGTTCTCCTCGGCCTTCCGCCCTGTCACAGAATCCCCCTCAATCTTAGTCTGCAGTAATGGCGGCCCTCATTCTTCTTAGGCCTTCTGAGAGATGAAATTAGCATAAAGCAAATCAGACACTAAGCTGGTGTCCCATGACTGGTAGACATCAGCTTTTAGCAGTGAAAAATAAACATGGTCCCCCCCCCCCACCCCCCACCACTGAGCAGGATTTGTTCCATGTGTTTACTGTAGGGCAGATCACCACCTGAGGGGAGAGACTGGAGGTGGGCAGTCAGGTAGGAAATACCTTGTGGGAAGGCTCCTACATCTTGGTCTTCCACTGCAGATTTTTTTTTTTCCCTGTGGAATCATACCATCACCCGGAGGCCTGGTGATCCCCTAGTACGTACAGTGTTTCTGGAAATGTGTATCCTCTGGGTAGCAAGTCAGTGCCAGTGTCCATCACTTGGGGCTGTATTTCAGCCCCACGTTCCTGCTCCCTTGGGCTCCTTCATGAGGTGTGCAGACTGCCCAAACCTTCCAGGGGCCCTGGGTTTGCAGCAAAATCGCGGCTGCCACTTGCTGATTGGGTGGCCTTAAACAAGGTACTTGGAACCTCGGTTTTCCAGCTGCAAACCTCACTGTGTTACTGTGAAGATTCAGCGAGATGATGGATGCTCAGCTCTTGGTGTAACACCCAGGATAAGCCCTTCCGTTGGCGCTGTGATGGTCGTGACTCATTGGGGTTTGGTTGTGACATTTATCTTTGTGCGGTCTCGTTCTCAGTTCTCAAATAGATAAGCAATTATTGACGAGCGCTCTGCTCCCTGTAAAACCCAAGTGTCGACTGCTTCTCAACCGGGTTTCCTTGGCTCTGCTGTCGCACGGTTCTAACAGCTGGATTTCACTTTCTTTGTGCCATTTTGGATGTAAGGTTTCATTGTCCATCAGGGGAAAGATAGAAGGAACCACTGTTCGTTCAGTGTCTAATTTGGGGGGACTCTTTATATTGGAAACTCATTTCATCTTTGTAACAAACGAGAAATTTAGGCTGAGGAAGGTTGAGTAAATCGCTTAGAATCACACGCAGCTAGGAAAAGAGCCAGGATCAGATTCCTGTTACCTCTCCCTCCATACTCCTGCACCTTTCCTGGGCTTTATAAGCCAGTCCCTGGGAATCTGTGTAACAACTATTGAATTTATGTAATTTTTTTCTCTGGAGTAGAAATTTTGCTTTCATCTGTGGCACTTACCTTTAAAACAGTCTTTTTAAAAACACATCTTTTTCTTACAGGTAGCCATTGCTGACGTGCAGTTTGGCCCCATGAGATTTCATCCAGATCAACTCCAGGTAGTAAGAAACCATGCTGTGCCCTAAACATACTGATTTTCTCCAAAGAGGGGGGAGGGCGAGGGCCTAAAATTGAAAATAGTTTCCTATTTTAGATAATGGTATTGGATCAACACTAAATTTCCTAAACCTGATCATAGTACTCTAGTCACAGAAGAGAATGTCCTTTTCTTAGAAACACACATTGAGGTATTTAGAGAGGACGAGATGCCTGCAACCTACTTCGAAAGGTTCAGCAATAAAAGAATGTGCATCATTGTGGGGGGTGGGGAGCAAAGGGGGCAAAACATTAACTTTCCATCAGAAAGTATCTATGAATTAGCAAATCCAAAATGTTAGGCAAAATCACCAGTTGAAACTGAGCTCCAGAGTTCCTTGATGCGTCTGGCACACAAACCGTGTTCACCGTTAACATTTTTAAAACCCGTGCAAAGCTACTCACAGGAATGTGCTCTTAGTTCTTCGCAGTAGTGGTATTTGTGCCCTTGGGAAAACTTCGAGGAACTAAGCCTTGGGGGACAGGGTTTCTGTCAGCCTTGTCGTGTCCTTCTCCCAGGCTGCCCCACCTCCACCTCACCACGGTCGCCCTCAGGAGCCCGTGTGGGTCTGAAGGGACAGAGTCGGGTGCTCCTGCACCAGACCCGGGGCGTGGGGGTGCCGGCAGGATGGGGGAGACGCAGCGGGCACGGGGACCGCAAGCCGTCGTCCCGGGCAGAGGCGCAGTGCTGTCTGTTGCACCTTGTGCCGTTCCTGCGTCCCTTAACTGACAGTTTGTCCTTTGCTATCGATCACAACTTTATTGCTTTTTTCATCGAAACATCGCTGACCTACGGCGCACAACAGAGTGATTCAGCGTTTGTATCCATGCAGAATATGTTGTCTGAATGGAACAATGGAACAGTGTCCCATATGTTGTTCTAGATTATTAACTGTATTCCCCGTGTGTCCATCGTGTCCCGGGTCTTATGTATTTTATGACTGGAAGCTTTACCTTCTAATCCCTCTCCCCTAAGACAGATGTCATATGATTTCACTTACGTGTGGAATCTGAAAAACAAAACAAACCACCATCACCACCAAAAAGCAGAAGCAGGTTTATAGAGAACAATCTGGTGGTTTCCAGAGGGAAGGGAGGTTGAGGGGTTACCTGGTTGGTTGTGAGCTGTTATATTTTGAGCTACCTGAAGTCTCTTCTCTTATCATCACATTTTTTTTTAACTTGGAGGAATTACATAAAACCTTGAGCCAGAACGTTTAATTACACTATTTAAAGTTTTAAGTATCTAAAAGTTTGACTGAAATATTAGTCTTTGTCACTTAAGGACTTGTCTAGTTAATTTACTATTAACTAAAATAAGTATTTGTGTTTTCATTGAAGTAGTTTCAGGATAAAATGCTTAATCAAGCTTTTGTTGAATTCTGCCAGTGGGCTTCTTCGCTAAAGAATAAGTATAGGGCCCATGCAGTTGGACGTCCAGACAAAAGCAGCTCAAATAGCACTAATTTCAGTCCCTGAGTTTCCTGGACGAAGATTTCTATCAACAGATTATGTTCACATCTGTGTGCTTGCCGTCCGGGCCCCGGGAGCTTTCTGTGGCGTGTTAAGAAATGACAGTTCTAACAACTTGTTTTTTTAAAAAGTGTTCGCACTTTTTTGATTCAGGTACTTTTAGTGTTTACCAAAGAAGATAACCAGTGTAATGGATTCTGCAGGGCGTGTGAAAAAGCAGGGTTTAAGTGCACAGTTACCAAGGAGGCCCAGGCTGTCCTTGCCTGTTTCCTGGACAAGCATCACGACATCATCATCATAGACCACAGAAACCCCCGACAGCTGGACGCGGAGGCCCTGTGCAGGTGAGCATGGGACCCAGGCCCGAGTAGCCCCCGGCACATGGGATGGTGAGCGCAGCACGTAATACGCTAGCTTGAATTCATGGCCTTTCGGGTGGCCTTCCACACATGTGAAATAAGACATTAGGATGAGGACATCATTATTTCTGGGACGGATCTTCCTCTGTTTTGTTTCCTTTTACTTTGCTTTGCTTAAAAATAGCAAAACAGAATTGAATGAAAACCGTCAAGGGTTAGGATGAAACCCCCTCTGCAGTTAACCACAACCATCACCTGCACGTTACTGCAGTGGGGGCTCATAAAATTTCCCCGATGTTTTTAAAGTTGTAAAAACTGTGAAAATTGCCTTCTAATGTTAGGTGAATGTGCCTTGTTTATAATACTTGCACAACATCAAACATGCGAACTGGATTGCTCAATAGGAGATTTTAGAGAAGCACAGATCGTCGTCACGTGTATGTGACTCTACACAG